CACACACGGGTCTGCGCATGTCATAGTGGACGAGCCAATTTATTCCGGCACAGAGCCTTGTTCCACTGATTTCAGACACTTTTTACTTAGTCGATTCTTGCTACCCTTGCTGAGGCATCGGCCGCCCAGCCACGAAGCACTCAGTGGTCACAGCCCCGACCAACGGACCGCAGCGTCCGTCCAGTCACCAGGACAAATCTGCACCGCCTTTACTGCCTGCTAAGTGACAGTTGTCATGCGAGCACAAACGGCGTCCTCTGGTGACACGTTCGCCGTTCGCACCACTTTAAAGCGACTGACTTAGCACTGCCTTACAACCCGCTAGTTAACAGCCCGTAACTGCCCGAGGAAAGGGGGAAAAGAGGCGACAGAGAACACGACCGTGTATTAGTGTCGAACCAGCCAAGTGGCTTTGTGTACGTATGAGTACGCGTGCGCAACAGGCGGATGCTGACAGAGGCCAATAACAAAAGGGATGAGTCACTGGTCCACTCGGGCCCTCTTGCACGCACCACTCACGCGAGATGGCTGTCAGTCCACTACAGATTGCCCTCCAGTCAATGTCCCCGTCCCGCTAACCCCACGCACACAACACCAACCTCCGACCGTACCTCAATTTCCTGGGTCTCGCTTGTAGTTACATACTCCATGTCTATTGAAATAGTGTTTACTGCGATAACGATAGTAGTGATATAATATTTAGGTAACCGACCTAACGTTCTTGGTTTCAGGTGAAATATTGTTTATTAGCATCGGTGAGGCAACTGTGGCGGAATTACAGCTATCGCGCCTGAGTGAACCCTGTCTTCTCGGATCAGCCTACCAATAAGGCGTGATCCGAACAAAGAGCAGAATCGTGCATCTGAATATGTAATTGAACATTTCTTTAGATAACTTGGCACCTACTTTTTTTTAGATATCGGTGATCGCGATTAGCAGACTGATGTTTCCAAGCGTACTGATTAAAACCACAGCATTCCGCAACGCCTAAAAAATTGGTGTTAGCTCGATTTCGTAAGAGGTTAAGAGGAGGCACGAAAGGGTCGTAGAATTTGCTAGCAATTTCATCCAAACTTCAGGAACACCTAGTCGTTAGGTAGAACCAATAGACCTACAACGGGAAGGGGTAAAACAATTTGATAAACTCAACCGCACGATTATAGTTCAGGTATGTATTTGTTCAATGCTGCTGTCCGATGTGCATCAAAACTCAACAGAAATGAAAAGAAGGCCATACCGAAGGACTTGTACGTAAAAAATGAAGAACGTAAATAAGCAACAAGAAAAGCAAACTCAAATTTACAAAAGCAGCCATGATTAATCCGCGCATACACGGAAATTATGAGGTGGAGGAAGGTGGTGAGACACGTCACCGTTTCGCTCGGCAGCAAGAGCCTTGAAAGGCTCCTTTGTACCATGCCAGTTAAAAGTTACCGTTTTCTTTGGGGCGGCCTCCTTAGCGTCGTGGCCGCTTCCACTGGCAGAAGCAGCACATCCGACAGTATCACATGAGGCATACAAATAGCTCAATGAACTAGCCCGAGTTGAATCGAGGCCACTGGCCGAAAAATACTTTGAAGCTAACTGAAAACGTTCAGCTTCAGCCTTGGGATCTAAAAAAGATAACAAGAAATTGTCACCTATGAAAGCCTCAACGGAATCTGCTGCTGCTGCTGCTGATAGACTTGATGTCGTACTCATAAGCTGTAGACTAAAAAAGAAATCGTGCAAGAAATAAGGAGATTGAAGTGACTCAGGGAGCACAGTGTCCCGATACTAAAAGGGTTCTTCGAACAGGGCCAAAAAAATCCACATAAATTTAGTCAGCTGGACACACGTCAGTGTTTTGGCGGGAACTGAGTAGGGTTATATGAAGACATCAACATACCGAATTGCATAAGTTCATTCAATAGCTTATTCAATGTAGGTGACTCCTGTAGGGCAGACAGCAAAACTAGGATGAATAAAATTGCAGTGAAAAAGTGCTGAAGAAATGTGTCTCGCTCATGGAAAGTTGGGTGATTTACCTTGGTTCATTTTGCAAATTCTCGGAGAAAACCAGGTCGTCAAATCGGAGGAAGGAATAGGAATGCGTAATTTTAAAGTCTAAAGGTAGTCAAATAGAAACATAAACGACAACTCATGCAGCACACACTTGGCAATTTGTAAAGTGACAAATGATGTGCGGAGAAAACCACAATACAAATCTCGCTTTACAAGGTTTCTCAACGTTATATGATCGGAATCGGCTGAAGCATCACTCGAAGGTGATTGGCAAATAAGACAAAAGGAGGGAGGGGGTGTGTTGAAATTTTGCTGGAGAAATTACCCCAACTAACTTTGTAAGGAACTGCTTCTTAATTAAGATTCGAAAAAACACTTCATCTCTCGGGTAAGGAAGTTAAACGTTAAGATGTCACTAGAGGTGGGTGCCTAACTGCTACCCACTGATGCGGAGCTTAAAACACACAGACTCAAACCCTCGACGAACATAAAACACTAAATTTATGGCCGTACAGTCGCCACAGAACGAGAGACTAATGCCAGTTTGCATAAATGTGGTTAGTCATTACAGTAGTGTCGCTTAAAAATAAAGAATCGTTTCAGGAACAATGGAGCACTTTTTTGTAGATACAAGTAACGATTCGTACGGTTTACCTAAACTCATGCTCGGTTGAGGCGCCGTGCAAAACAAGAAGAGTAATGCATTGGTTTGTCGTTGGTTAGTCATTGTATGATCCATTGGGATTGAGAAGACAAAAATACCTTCTAAAGGGAGTGACTTATTGCATCGGGTGGGGACGTACGAATTTAGCGACGCTCTCATTGAGGAAAAAATGGACACGATTGAATTAACGGTTAATTGACATCGTAGTTCGTAGCAAAATTGCCAGTTTAACAAAACAGAACAATGAGATACTAGGTTAGTTTTATGTTTTATGCAAAACACCAATTTAGTTCGGAGGATTCGATGGGAATCAAAGGCTCCATGAAACAAGAAGAGGGAATGTACGAGAATTGAGAAACCCCTTTATTCTACGATTAAATTACGTGCTGTACTTGATCATCAATGTGGTCATAAACTGGAAGCAGCCGGAGTATTAATACTCACTGTGAATACATAGACAATGTCAGATGGAGAGAAGAGGCACTGCAAACACAAATAAGCGCAGAGACGCACCTGGCTGCACTCAGGTCGCCCCATGGGCCAGGGCAGGCTGAGCGAGGGCAATTTGCTGCCGCGTTCCCGCGCGACACTGGCCAGCCTCTTTGTGACACGAGAATCAGTCACTTGACTGCGATATTTGTCAACGTCGGCAACAACACGCGCGGCGAATTTGACCTCGTCGTCTGCAATTCTCAGCCCCGCAGGCTGACCGAAACGCAAACCGGAGAGACGACTAAGGGCTGATCGCAGGCCCGGAAACTCGATTGGATCACCGAGGTGGTGACCACGTGGCATACGAGTTCCCTCCTGGGAGTGAAGGTTAAGTGAAACTGCACTGCCCGATAAGGGGGTGCTCTTTTTCCCTGAAAAGTCGGCCAATTCGATTAGGCTTCCAGCCGCGTAGGAATGCGGTGTCCGTCTGTACATGGTCGGCTATTTCGAAGCAAACAAAAGCATAAAGTTTATACAGATTTTAAGGTAAAACCATGACACGCTATCAGTAACAGGTCTGGTAGTAATTTCCTGTCTAACACCCGTCTTCAATTGGAAATATACTATCGTACATATGAGTGCTTATGGATTTGAAATTGCGACAATTCAGTGCTTGACCTTTCGGCCGAGCAACTAGATCTGTCAACAAGAAAAGCGGTATAAATGTTCAAAAACGAAAAACAAACTTGGGGGTGTACGGCAAGTATAAAATCGCCCCACACAATGTGATCAGTCCGCAGTTCGAATGCTTGTTTCACAGGTCTAATAGGCTTTTGAGATCACTGACCATAAAGTCGGCAGGATTACGCAGCGAGAAACTATCAACAATGGATATATCTAGTTAATTTAAATGAAAAAGAGGGAATTTGAGAAGAATGAGAACGCCATGCCAAATTTGCCGAAATGCAGTCTCCTGGTACTTTAGAGGTATCGTGTTGGCTAGACCATTGTTGCGACCTAGGTACGAATGGCGACTAAAGTACTCAAGAGAATCTTGATGAGACCTGACAGGTTGAAGCAATAGTCCATCGTGTGGATGCAACACAGCGTGATTGAACATGTTGGAAAAGAGGCGCCAAATCGTCACACTTTCGTGAGTCCATAGAATTCGTTGCCTTGATTGCTTAAATTGCTGGAGATGTCAACGAATGGATTCACATAAATTCATACATCAAGAGAACTGCTTGCTGGAGTGCCTTCATATCTGACAACGTCTACAAACTACGTCCAGGTGTGCATAATTTAAGCCGAGATGCCTGTTTCTTAAATGAAAGCTTACGAATTCCAAGTAAACTCGGTCGTTTAAAAGTACGTGCCACAATAAAAGTGAATTTAATATTTTGGTGCCATATTAAAACAAAATTCCAATGCTCCGCCAATCATACCATCCACTGTCTGCGCAGTTATGATTCATCAAGGTCGAAGCGATTCCTTTGATCTTTTGGCATACTTGACAAAAAAGTAACCTATGCGGCTTTTCGGTTAGTTAAAATAAGAAAGCGGATACGGCAATAAAAATATTATAATTTAGCCTGAATTTCATATAACCTCGATAAAAGGAGCGCATGTTAATGCAATCTACATGAACAAAGGCGCACTTTGCACTTCAACATTATGATAATCAGATTAATCTATTTAAATATATAAATATGGACATTACTGATGGTAAAAACCTTAGGTTTCCAAGCAAGCAGGATGAGCCAATCATTCCGTCCCAATTTTTTAAATGAAAAATTAACTTCTAGAGCTAATTGTGGTTTGCTAGCTATGGTCTCAGATAGGCTTGAAATGAGTTGCACCCTTGTTCGAGTACATGCAAAAAGCATTGATTGTATTAAGTATCGAGACGATATGGGATTGCATAGACCCAAACCTTAGTTTCACTAAATTCACGTTTATTTTGCCAACACCGCGGCCGAAAATATTTACTAAAGAGTAGAAAAAACCCCGCTAATGTAGGAGAGAGCAGACAACTGACCTAATTTATCTACCAAACTGGTTAGTGCAATGAGCACGTGAAACTTGGTGATACATTTTGTTGTCACATTAAATAATAAGCATTAAAGTGGTACAAGTCTTTAATTTAAAGAAGAGCTAAGTGTTCATTCGAATTAAAGGGCTGAAAAAACCAAGCGTTATGATTGACACGGAAGAGCCGGGCAATAAATACTTATGGAGAAAAGTACCTGTTGGTGGCTAAGATGGACCGACGTGAAGCGAGTGGCGTTAGCTAACACGGCCTCGGCAGCCTGCCTTCGTCGGAGCTGGACAGCATTGTGGAGGATTATGAAGTCATCAAGGGCTTCACGAAAGAGGCGGAGTTCTTCGCGTTCAGCCAAGGAAGCGACCAATTGCTCCGACGCAGTGTTTATCTGAGCCTCAAGCTCGTTTGTATAATGGCATAGCAGCTCCCGTGAAAAGGCTTCTAAGTCTGAAAGGGGATATTTTTCTGCAAGGTTTTACCATTCGTTTTATTACTATGACAAATTCCGCAACGCATTAGATATTTATTGTTGACGCAATTCGAGGTAAAAACACTACTTCGTCACGTGGGACAGCATACACCCACAACTGCGTTTACTTGCAGAGCGCTCAAACAAGCACACCAAGGGACCTCTAAATGCTTACTCCTCAACCTCTAACAGCGGAGGCCAGACCTCGGCAAGGTGACGCACACCACAATGACATGGTGGTTTCTAAACCCTAGAATGACGATCAGAAGGACACCGTATGGGCCTGAATTAAGCCCAAAGTCCATTGATGGGGAGAATCGGCAAGACAACGGAAAGCAGACTAACAAAAACGTCCGTCACATTCGATCAACACACGAAAGTACTGTTGACGGTATATAGAGGAACCTCGCTAGAATATAGTAAAAAGTTAACATATAACGCGTGCTGAATTCGGTTTCTGAACCTAAAAAACCTCAAGTGTAAAAATACAGAACACTTTCCACCGAAAAGGGGGGTAAGTGGGCCATCGAAGTCGAAATAGATTTTTTCTACAGAGTGAATCGAGGTAGTGGCATGCCGGGTAGTGAAACCGGTTACGCCGAATTTGCTTATACGATGGCATTGTCAACTGGATTCTTTTGGGAAAGACTCGAATTTGAGATTCTGTCGAAGAGTTGAGTTGGGTCTATCAATAATCGATCAAACTTGTGCAATAATGAGCGTCGTAATAAGGAATAAGAATAAAAAATACACGTGGAGTAGTTTGGACAGACTACACGAAAAGCCGTGGGATCGGATCAGATTGAAATCGACAAGCTAGTCACGAGAAATACACCAATGCATCAGAAATAGTGGGCGAAAGATACACAACCTAATAATGTGCCGTAAGGAAGAAAATAGACAACAAGATAGTGCCAAACAACAAATTACAAATGGTACGAAATTCGTGCGTGTTGCAATACATTGGAAGGCATCTGCAGGTGTGGTACCCACATCTCAAGTAAACACCAATTAATAAGCAAACGCTTTGGGATGATAAAGCTGCTTCTTGAAGTCAGTCAAGGATGGAAAAAATAGGACAAATTGGTACCTTGTGTGGACGCGGTTACATTTTGCAGAGGCGTAGGATGTCGAGCTTTGAAGGCCTCCAGGGCTGCCTGGAGCTCCGCCCATCTTAGTGATGCTTCTAAGGCCCGATCGTCCTCTGTAGCCTCGACCGACTCCGTTGGTTCCCACTTGCGAGGAGGGGACTTGCTCGAGAGAGAAGACAGCGATTCACAGGACGAGGAAGAGAGCTGGTCGGCAGGATGCGTTGCCACCCTGTCATCTGCCTCAACGACGGCGGCGCTATTGCTTTCAGTGACTGCTTTCTGGCGGTCAATCTGGGCAAAAACAAAAAGTTGAGAACGCGCTGAAATACGCGGAAATAGGTACATTTAAAGGAGAATACTGTGTACGTGATAGACCGCATTCATACCAATTAATTCTTTGGAAGGATATTAAAGGACGGCGTTAAGACGCTGGTTTCAGTCTTGAAACTGGTAGAAGCTAAAGAAATTCAAGTGAATGTCAACCTTTCACATACCAAATATAAGGACACTAGGTACAATTTAGGAAAGTAAACGTTCAAGCCTCTATATACTATGGGTGGACATTAAGGAAATGTAACTTATAAGGAAGGTCTCGAAATCGAGGTATAAAGAACAATGCATAGAGAAGTGCAGCATGTTACTCTACCATAAATTTCTACGTTCATCATTTTGTGACAACATTGGAGACCTATAAAATACTGTGACGTATATTCAGCAACACCACACAAATTAAATACTTAAGCCAAATAAAAATTGATTATTAGAAAAACGCAAATAGTGGGAACATACTTTAAGCTAGAATACACAATGTCACCGTGTTCGTCGACGTTATTCATTAACGCAAGCGCGAAACATGAACAAAGTTTATTGGAACTAGTGTAAATTACTGCGGACTTCTAAAGGCATGAGAGGCTCAATTATTGATGACGTGAACGCTGGGTGCTTGCGGCAACACGAGTACCTGCGCCGTCTCACCAATGCCACGAGTGCCGTTGATTCAGTGCGCCCTGGTGACATGGCTGTCTCAGCTTGTCAAAACGTCGATCTTATCTTCACAGGCACCAACTGGTGTCACCGAGTGTCGGCCATTCGGTCATACAACAACGCAGCAAACACCATGAAAGCACTTTAGGCAATGCACCAAAAAGGGCACTGGCAAGGCTTCTATTACGACCTTGGTCACGAACTAACAAAAGCTCCTCACGTGGTGTAACGAAAACCAAGTTGACTTGTGGGGCAACAGCCCAACTCACATCTCACCAATCTGCTCATAACGCTTCTACGTGGAGGCACTTCTTCTCCAGACTCGAAATCCTTCCACACTTCTATGCACAATGGTAAACTCCAACAAAAACATCCTTACTCATCCGACGTTTTTACCTAGCTTTGGAGGGAATCGCTTAATGACCCTTCAGAGGCGCGACTTTCAATTCCCTCTTTCGATTACACTTGGGATTATACTTGCAAATCCAGGTTTTTCCTGATTTTGAACACAGGGGTCTCGGTAGTTATTAAAAGAATAATTGAGAATGACCAAAGTAACAAGCCTCAGCCGCATCATCTGATCACGATGCCACGTTCAAATTTCGTGACGCGAACACATTCCTCTCCTGAGCTCAAATTGCCACGTTGACTTTGGTTGGTGTCACAGGGAGTTCTTCTAGCAGTTGATCAGACCGGAAAGCCTTCCTGGCCTTCTTAGCACGCCTACTCTTCTCTGGGACTACAGAATGACCTGATGACTGATCCGACCCACTCATTCCGAAGCGTTGAATGTCCACCCTACTGAGGCTCACCTCACTTCCCCACAAACGCAGACCGTTCGAGCCGCACTGCGATGTCAGTCGTGTTAGATCATGCCCATTTCTAGGCTTGGGACTTGAGCGGGTATTCACCACCCAGCGCCACCTAGTGTGCCTGGCTTCACACACTTCACCTTGGCGGGCCCTATTACCGCCTCGGTCCAATATGCCTTTGTCAAGTCGAATGTGGAATGACGAGAATTCACATCCGGTGAATAAACACTCACACCATTCTGCAGAGGTGTCAACTCTGTCCATTTCAGACCCTTGTGATTCCCGCGCAGACTTCTGCTACAATGGCATCTCATGGAATCGGGCTCAGGGAATACGGGGGGACTAGGGAATTCGATCTGTGGGGTCTGCGCTGCTTCATGGAGGCAAGTTGAGTGCCAAGGCGTATCTTTCGCCATCGGTCTCCGACACTAGACACGATGTCACGCTCCCACTAATCCCCATTCACCGCACGTGCACTCAGACGCCTTGCTTCCACACCCACGACCTGATACCTCGTTAGACAGATTGCAGTGTCTCTTTAGTACTTGCATGAGTACGTATTGCGACAATGAACGGTAATTTTAGGCTGAAGCCAAAGCAGTTTTTTGGAATGTGATCAGCAAGCCTCCTATGAGAATTCGTAAAGGATTGTCAAAGGTGCTTTAATTTAGTATTGAAATTTTGTTTGCTATGGCGTAAAATGGAAGCCATTTTTCAACATTATTCCTTAAGGTTGTAATTTTTCAATTATTGATCGTTTTATCCGAGAATGAAATCCTTTAACACTCGTTAATGAAATCCATAGGCTTCGACATCGCCGTTTCATTTCACTCAACAAACACGCGTTGCATTCCTATACTGGCCATTCATGTCATGAGTTATGCGTCACCGTGCAGCCAAAAGCGAGCCAATTAAACTCCTGTACGTCAGAATGACGTCATTTAATTAACACCACGACACCCTTACTCGAAATCTACCTCGTGGAATTCTGATTACACCTTTTCATTCAGTCAATTGACGATTGTAATTCATATAATATTACCCTGATTAAAGCTTGCACAATATTTATTTTATTTCAATGAGACGTCGAATTAACGAGCATTTTTTCCATCCTAATTTCCATTCCATATGGATGTTCAATCTTCAATCTTACAACGAACTGTTTTTCAGATGCCTCCCTGAGATACTGTATGCAGTTAGTGAAAGCCAGGAACTCATGCACCCGGTAATTGTTTTAAAATGAAAGAACAATTCGTCTTGAGGGGGATATTATTTTCAAGCCGTAAGTTCCACATTTCGTGTGCATTTTGATGTCTCAACTAAGTTTTCCTTTTGTCAAACCACCAGCCCAGAAAGGCCTAGACGATATTTTGAGTGGCATTTAGGAACGAATTGAACTTCAACAAGTGAACTGCCATGGCGCAGTTTGTAGGGTGCATGACACTGTCAGAGCTGCGAACTTTTTGAATAGCGAATGATTTTCGAGGAATTATCTGATATCGCATGCTTCAGTGCTTCAGAAGCAGCGTGGCGTACACGGCCCACGTGACTCCGGATTATGGAAATTGTAAACAGCATAGAAATAATCTGATATTACTTTCGAAAGACTTTGGGTGGTTCAAATTAAATCCAGAAACACAAAACTGAAAAAGGGAATTGTGCTTTTCGTGATGACAATTTATCACCTGTAGTGGATGATGTAGGTGACTTTAATGTGATTTTAATCAGAATTTATTTCAAAATGTTCGTAGATATTTCCTCTGCATTTTGGTGGTTTTTTAAATAAAATGCACCACAATACAGAATCGACACTGACATTGTTAAATCCTAGGTCAAAGACATCTAACTGCTTCGTTGAAGATTCACTATGCAGATCGACTTTGGAGACCTATGTGTACGTTATTTTTCAATTGACAGTAATGGTTATGGGTCACATAAAGTCGGATGCAGCGTTTAAATGCATTTTTTGATGCTTTTCGTCCAGATAAGCTGAAGAGCCGAGCAAATTTTTTTAAGAAACAGTATAACTTTGCACGTTGGTGCATTCATCGCAGGCTGCGACCCAGAATGACGTGGTGAGGGGTCTTACTGTTAAATATATTCTAAATCACGAGACGTTTTGAACACCAAAATGAAGTGAATAAGCTTTGCGTGGGCTCTCTATTTCTACGCCTATGTGTGGTGAACGAAATTTACGCTGCTGCTTTATACTGCAACCAATATGTTCTCGGTTATTTTTAAAAATAATTGTTGGTGGCAGCGATGCTCACTAGTAGTCATATTTACTAATGGTGTTTTGAACCCCCACCCACTTTCATCTCTGTCATCTACTATTCTTATACTTCATGGGTGGACGGCACAATCGAAACCTAATCCCGGTTCTACTTCCATTACAGACGTATCATCATTCGCTGCAGATGACCAACCTTCTCATGCTCCTACTACAGCTCATAACCCGTCTTCCACCCTTGGATCCACTCAAACCCCTAACCCACATTTTTACGCAAACGTATCCCCAACCCAACCCTCCACCCTCCATTTCCACGACAATTTCTCCCGTTGGTGCACATTCATCCAACTCCAAATTCCCCTCGTCCCCCCACAACATAGAGGTCGTTTTGTCCTCACTGCGATGTCCCCATATGTCCTTGAAGAATTGTTAAATGGGATCCCGGTTGACTTCCAACCGGAAGTTATCCTGGATACTTTACAACCCCTCCGCGGGTCCGGCTTCCACCCAGCAGAACTCCTGTTTTAGTTCTTCGATCGCGCACAAACCCCAGACAAAACAGTTCAGGAATACCACACTGAGCTCTCCCGTCTCGCGCTTCTCGTGCACCCTCCCCCCCGGATGGAGCCAGCGTACCCATACTAGTCCGTCCGTATTTAGAGGCGAAATTCCTCGTTCGCTGGACGAAATCTTTGCTATTGTCGAACGTGCCAAATAGTACCAACCCTACACCCCCTTACATACCTATCCCTATAACATCCGGACCCTCTCCGTTCCACACTACTGCTCTAGTTTTAATCCATAGGCACTCCCACTCCCCTCTCAACCCAGACAACAGTTGCTACCCCGCGACCCCCCATTCCATCGCAGAGACTCACATCTATGTATGATCCCGACTCCTTGAAATGTGGATATTGCAGACTCTTCGGCAAGTCGGTTATACACTGAGGACACAACCGACCAAATGACTTAACCTTCCCCACTAACTCTGTCCTCTTTACCGAATCTCACGCTCCGGCGATCCAAGGTCAAATAGAGTCTCACAAGTCCACAATCGTCATTGACACGGTGGCAGCAGTGACCACTGTCAACCCCAAGTTCTCTGCCATCGCAAATCTCCCCGGATTGACCCCTCCCACTTCACTGGTCCTCGCATCTAACTGCTCCACAGTGAACATCCTAGGCTAACTTATGGCCTGGGTTAAGGTCGGTTCGGTCCAAGTCCAACATTCCTTCCTTGTCTCCCCGGACTGCCGATGGAACGTTATTCTAGGGCATGACTTCCTAAGCGCTCTCATTGACTGCTCCACAGAATCTCCTCTTCTCGTGCTCGACGTTGACGCTATCAGCTCTCCATCAGATCCCAATTCGATAACCGACATTCTCCCCTCGAACATCCTACGAGATAGTTGCCACCGCGTACAGTAACTTTTCGAACAGTTTACCAATGTGTTCAACTAGACAGGTCAGGACATCGGCAAAACTAATATTATCTAGTACACCGTAAACACCGGCGACGCTCACCCACGACGAATACCAGTACACAACCGCGCAGACCTGGATAATCTTATAGACGACCTTCTTCGACAAGGCATCAATGCCCCATCATCCTCCCCATGGGCCGCACCGGTCACTCTTGTCAAGAAGAAGGGCAGTTCCCTCCGACTCTGTATCGACTATCGGAAGCTTAACGCGGTAACAATTCGCGACTCTTTTCCCCTTCCGCCTATGGACAATCTCCTCAATGCTCTAGCCGGGCAAAAGTATTTCTCTACTCTTGACCTCTCCAGCAGTTATTGGCAAATAGAGGTGGATCCAAGAGACCGGAAGAAGACCGCATTTACGCTACCCTCAGGCCTTTCCGAGTTTTGCACCCTTCCCATGGGCTTAGCCAAAGCAGCAGCTATCTGCGAAGGTGTAATGCAGAAAGTCCCTCAAGGCCTCCTCCAAAATGGTTCCTATTTGCCTAATCGAAGTTGGAGTATCGCGGCTGTCTATAGCATTAATAGTAGCCGCTTCGAAGTATTTTATGGCCAACCAATAGTTTTGACATTTGAATGACCTTGAGATTGAAGCATTCAGAGCAATGCCTTGTGGCGGAGTGAGAAAGATTCCTCTACCATAAAGTCCTACATTCGTGTTTTAGTGACCTCATTGGAGACCTGAGACAAAGTCTTACGCATAATTAATTTCACTTTTAATGCCTCTTAAAAGCTAGATATTTCAAACCATTAGATAAGCTCAGAGATAGTGCAATTTTATTTAAAATCTGAGTACATATTGTGATACATTATTTCATTTTATTGGCACTAGTGCGATTACTGCAACCTTTTAAAAGGATGTGCATGTACTCTTAGAAGATAAGAGGCCAAACTGTGGATAACGCGAGCGTTGAGAGCATGCGGCCTTACGAGATCCCTCGGCCTAACAAAGCCACTCCTATCGTTTCCTTATGATCTCCCACGATTGCCCCAATGTCTCCCCTGAGGTCTCTTGCTGCGAACTAACGGTGGGCCCAAAAAATTTACGAAAAAGTTAAGAGGCCACAAGCACAAAATCCTTCCGAAATAGAGCGCCTGCCGATCAACCACCCTTTGGATAAACCCAATAGGCCACAAATTTGAACACCAAATTGCCATGCCCAAGCCGACGTGGGGAAATGCAACGCCAACGCACACCTAACCTACCCTCGTCTTGATCACCCATGACCATCGACAGTTGTGTGCTTCAAAGAACTCGGTGTGGCCATCTGCAAGTCCCAAAACGATCAGAGGGACCCCACCACTCAGACCCATTACCAGGACCACCATTGAAACTGTATTCGTGTAGAATATATTTCCACAGAAATAACACCTCCCCAATCTTAGATTCCCAAAAGAGGAAATTAGCCACGGGACAATTACAAAAATATTATTACGTAAAAGAATTAGAAATCTGCATCCGTAGTGAATGTATGAGTATCCTCACCCCTGACACGAGACATAACACCGGCTCGCTGATATTCGCCAACACGCTTTTCAAAGAAATTTGTCTTTCCTTCTAGAGAAATGTTCTCCATGAAATCGAAAGGGTTCTTCTCCATGTAAATCTAATGGGAAAAAAAGTGTGAAAGACAGCGAAAAAAAAACTTTACAAGAAACGTTAAATAACTTTACCTTCTCAAAACCAAGTTCAGTTAAGAGTCGATCAGCAACAAACTTAATATATTGACACATAAGTCGGCAGTTCATGCCAATAAGGTCGACAGGTAGAGCATCTGTAAGAAATTCAACTTCGATGTCAACAGCTTCACGCAGGATCTCGTAAACTCGCTGCTCTGACGGCTTATTCACAATATGCTTGAACATAAGGCAAGCAAAGTCTGTGTGTAGACCTTCATCGCGGCTAATCAATTCATTGCTGAAAGTGAGTCCCGGCATCAAACCACGCTTTTTCAGCCAGAAAATCGAAGCAAACGACCCCGAGAAGAAAACGCCTTCAATAGCAGCAAATGCCACCAATCGTTCGGCATACGGAACTTTCTTGTTGGCAATCCATTTCAGAGCCCAATCTGCCTTTTTTGCGACACATGGGAGAGTCTGAATAGCGTTGAAGAGGAAATCGCGTTCGACAGGGTCCTTGATATAGGTGTCGATAAGAAGCGAGTACATTTCGGAGTGAATGTTTTCAATAGCGATTTGCATCCCATAAAAGCAACGAGCTTCGGGCACTTGCACTTCTTGGCAGAAGTTTTCGACGAGATTTTCATTAACGATGCCATCACTAGCGGCGAAGAAGGCGAGGACGTAGGAAATGAAGTGTTTTTCCCCATCCTTGAGGGACTCCCAATCGCTCAGATCTTTTGCCAGGTCGACTTCTTCAACAGTCCAGAAGGAAGCAACTGCTTTCTTGTAGAACTGCCAAATATCATGATACCGAATCGGCATAATGACAAAACGTCGTGGGTTAGGGGTTAGAATCGGCTCCTCAGGAATTGCCATTTCTTTGCCGGGTAGGATCGCGACTGAGCTCGTTTCCTAAAGGAAGCATATTTTAACATAACAACGCCATAAAAACAAGGCACGCATTAAAAAATAAGTGATTGCTGTACGTGATTCTCCTTATTTTCAGACTCCATCGCGGGCGACTGGTAAGCCGCGAGCCGATGTGAGTATTTATAATGCGCCGAAAAAACCAGCCAATGGCAGTTCACACAATTCGCTAAAACAATGAAATAACAGACAAATAAAATATGTCACAGCATCTTGCACACATATTAGTTTCAATTATATTACAAAGCTAAGTTTAAATGGATTAAATACTAAAGCAAATAGATCACGTAAGTTTTTATGGTTATTTTAGACTTCATATTTTAAAATACAAAGTTCAATAATTATGCCCATTTTTTGTACGCCTCATGGACTAACTGGTGCCACTCACTTTTTTGAGCATGAATATTTTTGCGCCTTTACATTGAATATTTTAATTTATAATCAAGGGCCCCTCAAGGAATAGAATTCATTTGTATATTTTTCAATGATTGCAAGTGAAGGTTTTCCTAAATCGCCATCTAGGTTTTCATGTTTAATGTCATTCGCAGAACTCCATCGGATTTTTATGAATTTCTTATTAGCAAGAGTCTGGCACATTAAGCTAACACCATGATTACCAAAAATGTATCCATTAACGATATCACAAATTAGGGATTTCTTGATCTTAAAAGTTGAAGTCTTAACTGTAGTCTGTTGGCGTATTTTTACGCCAAATGCATTTTGTTACGTGACGTGTATTTTTTCTCTTACCACAAAACAGATTATGGTGAGTAGTTAATGGATATCAAATTGTCGGATCACCTTTGTGCTGGTAAGGCTCAGTCATGTCCCAGTAATAACTTAAATTAATTACTTTGGCGCTATATTGAGACTGATTGAAATCAACAAGACCAAAAAACACACATTAGAAATCCGTATTCACTATCGAAGCGCTGTACACCATCTACAGTACAAAGTCCTAACATATGAAGTTCAAATTCTGTTCCTACGAAATTATTTTTAAATTGCTTTTTCAAGGTTAGGGTCTCAACATCTATATGATCATCTTCTAAGTTTGGCTGAGGCATAGTTGACCAAAAAAGCCTGTCAACATAAAATATTTGACAAGGTGGAATTTTGGTTCTTGTCAGGACGTGAGATCGTGGATTTAACGACGCACCTGAAACTCGTCTTAAAGTGCTTTTGAACAGTCGCATTCAAACTGATAGTCGAAAAGCCTTCCAGGCTTCTTAAAAGTTTATTGTGAGACGACCGGCACGCGCAAACTAATTGCAATAAACGGCCCTAATTTTAGGATGACACCATGTACAAATAATGGCTATCGGTTAAGAAAGTTTGCCATCAACTAATCTCTATGTAAATTATGACTTGTGTCTGCTAAGTTCATAGCACTTCTCTATTTACCCTTTTACTTTAGCAATTATTTTTGAACACAGGCTATTAACAGTCTTATCTATTGACATTCGTCTAAAAAGCGTTGCGTTCGTTTTAGTAATTTTTAGTTTATGTTTGACCTGAGCGAAAACCAAAACTGTCCCTAGGTATTACAATTTCTAGTGGCGATTCCCCAATGAACAAAGACAAACTGCATGGTTTTTTAGAATACTCGCAGCATCTATCATACAAAAGTAGTATAGTATTAAAAATTGTAACTATTACATGTTACACTATAAGAAAACATTCTCGATGACATCACTTTTTTCCTTGACCGTCGAGCATTAGTTTTGTCTTATTCAGAAATTTAATATCACAGGGATTCAAGAAATAAAAACATAAATAATAAAATTAATGATTGTAATAATAATAGACAAATTCGGGTGATCAGAAAGCAAAATCGTCCAAATGGGCTACACATATTTGAAATTCTACTTTATGAAACTACACAACAGACCTCCTGCATAACGCACAACTGATTATCCGTATAACTTATCTCTAAATTTGTTTTAACAACCTTAAAAGGCATTTATCTTAAACATATTTCAGATAGCATTTACATGTTCTTCTTTCTGCAGCTGAAGAATCATTCTGTGATTCGCAGCTGTAAGGATAATTAATTCTTCTACGTAGGACCGTTTTACCACCCTATAACAATGTTTTGTGCCAAAACATGAAGATCGATGACATGGTTTTGCAAAGTTCGGCTTGTTATTAAGGTACTGAATCTATAGATGCAGCAATTTCAAAACTTTGGCCCATCTTTGCAAAAGTACGTGGTTATTGAATGTAATGTCAGTCACATGGGACGACAATTTGCACCCAGTATTCTAAACTCATAGAAACCTCTTGATTAAACAAATTTTTGAGACAGTTTTGAGCACTTTTTTGAGATAGTTTGACATTAAATTTTGCTGAAATATGGAGATTTTCACTGCAATGACAAGTGAGGTTGTCCTGATTACTCTGTGAATAAGTATCAAATGGATAGGCCCTAATCATTTGATGGACTTTATCTTAAACCATTTAATTCTTCTCAATGCTATTGGCTAAACTTCTTACTCTCTGCTACTCTTGTTGTGAACCAGTTTCTAAAGTATTAAAATCTCTGCGCGCAACCGTTATTGTACGCAGTCCCAGCATTTTAGACCGTCCTGCCATGTTCTGACATTAAAGGTAGATTTGAGAAAGGCTCTATGGTCATTTTAGAGCTGCGAACTCAAAAGAAGCATCTTGGTAGAACTCGAGTAAAGATAGCGATCGCCACACCATCTAGCCAGGAGCGATTTATAGTGAAGGTTTTGTACAAGATTAATTAAAGACTAATTTCGAATGTTCGGATATTGAGGGCTCTCAATTAAGAAGCAATGAAATTAGGCCGATGACAAGTCGCAAGCTTCAAGCCCAAAATACCTAGCCAATGACAACAAAAACACGAAGAAACAAATTAGGCACTAGTTGATTTGCTTTCATAAAAGTCCCATATCGAGAGTTTATAATTTAGCTACTATTAAAAGCATTCTTCTACGCTTAAGTTGTTGCGTCTCAAGCACATTCTGCTGCTTGGAGCAGGAGTTAAATTTCAGGAAAAAGTTCTACACTGGACAACATTTTCACCTCAAAGTTAATGAATAGTACGTTTGTTTAATCCAAGCTGTTAAATAGGCCTTAATAGTTCTGTAGCTTCCTCATTGAGTGTGAGCCTTCACATACCTTTAAGCGCGGCAGTGAAATGCAAGGGACTTATTCCTACGTTGTTCGCCTCAGAGTTTTCTTCGCGTTTGGAATTCAAACTATGCTGCTTACCACACGATCCCAGTCATCTCCACCTGTCATCGTGTGTCAAAACACACGCGGTCTCTCCTGACGTCATTCTATTTCAATGTCTGTTCTCTGAGTAGTAAATACGTCTAAAAATGCGATTTGTTTGTCCACAGAAAACTGAACCACGGCACTCGAATTTACACCATCGGGCACAGTTTCATCAGACTCATTTATTTTCTTATACAATTCTGGCATGACCTACATAATTTGAATCGTGTAATTCGGCACTGGGTGTAGAATTGTACATTCGAAAGAGCCGTAAATTAGCATGATTTCATTAGTGCCTGGTGAGCAGGGAGGCCTGCGTAATTTGGGGCAGTGAGAGTCTACCGAGCTGCGATGAGGTGGGCGTTGGCAGTAGAAGACCACAATCGGGAGTATCACGCAGCCAATTTCGGAGCTTGGTTTCATTCTGTGGGCTGACCAGTCTTCTCATGGGTGGGTGTTGCGCCTGGCCGTGGAGCGCACCGTCCACTGAACGGTGGTGGCTTGTACTGGATGCGTGTGGTCTGCTGACCCCGTTCGTGGTGGCACCTTGGCAAGAGGTGGGGCTACTTGCGAATGCACACGATGCGGAATTGTGGGACTCTGACAATGCAAAAAGCCTTAATGGTGTTAATTTGGCTACGGATTGAAAGATGGTTGAGCATCAATCCTTTTCCTTAAAGTCCAGCTTATCAGTCTTCAAATGAGCAACTTGCTTCCATGCATTACTAGATCTATGATTGTCGATTAACAATGTGGTGGACTTGTCGACAGAACAAGTTGGTACATACAATCTTTGGTAAATGTCCACCGTTGTGTCCTCGATCGCTACCCAATTGCCGCTTGCCCCTGTATTCCAGCATGAATAGCACCATCACCGAAAGCGCAAGAAAACCGGACGTGCACAAGAAGCCAACGGTACAATTATAATCACGTTGTGAACCAAGCAGAACATGCTTCCCAATCGCTGGGAAGGACTCACGAAGAGTTGATGTACATGTGTGAATGCACCATCTTCACCACCCACAATTAGCACAGCGCATACGAACATTACCAAGGTCTTCTTAGTGCTTCCTTATCAACAGCCAATTGGCTCGCACTTGGTCAAAATCAATTAGGAACAGCCAAGAACCTTGTGACCTATAGAGAATGATCGGTTGTGGTTGAATTATTTCGGTGTAAGCAGCGCATGAGCAGACATACAACTTGTTCGATCTGGCCCAGTGGGTTTATTGTGAAAAATCAATGCAGTACCCTCTGCTAGTAGCTGAGGTGATATACTTGAATAACGAGAAAAAAAATACTTTTGATATGGCATCCCACGTAGTCATTTACTTTGACGTGGATCACGGACAGACCAAGTAAGCACCGGAGTGTCGTTGTCAGGTTTTACCACCGGACGCATTCGGAGCCTTTAATGTCATCCAGCGCAGTCACTCCAGGGGCACGCTTCATTTAATGCTTTGCAATCACAAGAAATGCAATTCAACCAAAAAGTCGGAATGAAATTTCTGTTCTAAAACTATCAAAGCGACAACCAAAACTAGAACAGATCATGGTGAATCGACAATCATATCACAAATGCCACTCTTGTACCAGCAACATCACCTCGGCTGCTGATTCCCACAGTATTACGCTTAAGAGTATCACTAGTATTGTTATTTTTGACACCGCTTACTTGGAGATTACGATAGCTTGGCACCTAATAATAATCCTTAATGGCGAAACTTTTCCAATTTTAAAATGGGTCAGGTTGCATTTTTCTGTTGCTTGCAGGTAAACGAAAAAACTTCGTCGAGGCTTTCGGGCGACAAACTAGGAAGAGCAGTGTCCGAAATCTCAAGGGCAATTCCACTGGTATGGAAAGGCAACAAAGTCGGGACGCATGCCACGTGAAAGAGCCTACCAACTACCTTGCCGATATGCTGCCGACAGTGAACTTACACCATATTTGGGATTAACGGCAGCCATACACCAAATGAAAAATCTTCAAGTAAACGCATTTGGCCATCCTGGGGATCCAATCCATCCTTTGCCAACAGAGCAGGAAAGTACAAATGACCTATTTTTTCTTTACCAAAAGTGGTTATTCCGCCAAAGTAGTCATAGCAAAGGGTCCCTGAATGTAGTGTTACTGTATTTATCACATCGGCAAAAAAGTGCATTCAACCATCAATGACCAAATCCCAAAAATTAACTTTTTGCATACGTATACTGTAATTATGATTAAATGAATGACGAAAATTGGGGACAGGAGGCTGAAAACGTTAGTCTAACCAGAAATGCTGGGATTTGAAAGCAGAAAGTTGATGAACCAGATATTTTCTTAGTCAACTTTTTTGGGAGATTCGCCATGGTTTTCTTGAGTTGTGGCGCCGGTCAAAGACTCCAAGTGGCTACGCTTAGGAGAAGAATGGAATCCAAACTTTAAAAGAGAGTCGATGAGGCCTACAAAATGGAAAAATAAATTAGTAAAGACCACCTTAATAAACAGAATTTAAAGCACACGAAGTCAAAGCAGGGTGGTTAGGTTACATAGCAGTAGTCGCTTTCCTACTCACATATATGATTACCCAATAGATAAAGCAGGAAAATAGTCATTTATGTTGAAAACGCAATTTATTTGTAACATTTAGCCGACGGAGTTCGCTAGCTTTGGGTGACAAAAAGACTTACTAGAGGGGTGGAGATCGCCCATAGTATCCGAGTTGTTAAGCGTGAAATATAAGGGATCCGTGGCAGTGTGATGATTCGGCCAGGGAATTAACACAGATTGCTTTTGGGGAGAGGTGGCTACGGAAGGCATGATAAGTGACACATCGTCCAGGAAATTAAGGGCTCCGGAAGAGAAAAAAGCAGACCTTCGTTTGCCTGAACGAGGCTCTGAAGTAACAAAGGAAAAGTTATATCGTACAGGAAGCGATCGGTATTGCGTGTCGCATTACATTTTGGTACTTTTAGAAGTGTACATGCCTACCTAAAATGACCTTCGCGAGAAAAGAAGTAAAAAACACTGAAAAACAGTATGTGGATTAGCAATGGGTATTTTAAAGCTGTCATTGTATTAGCAAGAGGCGATATGAGCACTTGAGAAAGATAGTTACACAATGTTCGATTGACGAAGTTTCCCAGGCACAAAAACGAATAAAGTATTTGGGAGACTACTCCTACTTCTGCCCATAAGAGGCGCCTGGTAAAGGGAACCTGGAATACCAAATACGATATAGATTTATCGACTCCGTATGTTGTACAAAAGACGATGTTTGACAAAGAACAATCTACTTAGAGCCTTAATTTGAGATAATTATAATTCACACAACGCACAGAAATTTTAAAAATCACTACAAACAAATCAATTTTTAAGGAAGTAAACTCACTGAAGGCGGGAGGAGGGCAAGTGGCAGAAAACTCCGAAAGAGAAACTGGCCAATCATCGGGAAGTTCACGAGCTGTTTTTGAAAAATCGTACGAATCCAGACATGATTTAACGGATTCTTTTGCCTGATCGTCCTTTTTAGTATAACGAAGGCGGCGACGCTTAACTGGTGGCCGTCGAGCTGTTCTGTGGCAACGTAGTCGACGACAACGGCGACAAATACGAGATCTCCGACGTTTCTGGCGAGACTGTAAACCCCCTCCAGTAACATGAGGCTGTAAAACAGTAGAGTAAACGTCGTAGGTATATAACTGTTCCGATGAAGCGGCTGGTAATAGGGAGTCACGTAGTAAAAGTCGTCGGCAATCATGGCCCAAGGCAGTGCCATGGGTATGAGCACATTTCAAGATGTCTTGTGATACTAGAGAGAAGTATTAATACCATGCGCTAAAGTCAATTTACCCCTGTAGAATGTATCAATGCGCTGGAGAGCTTCAATCAAACATTGATTGTCGCAGCAGTTATCCAGCTTACCTACAAACAAATACAACATCAAATATACTCACAAATTCACGAGAGCAATATCCAAGAATAGTGACACATCAAGATCGATTTTCTACTGACCGATGGGTCTTGTCACAGATAAATCAAAAAGATTTAATTGTTTAAGGTCAACATAAGCATCGATTTCAGAAAACAAAAAAATTATCGGACCATCAGAGGAGGGGAATGACTAGGAGACCAGCGACACCATCGATTAAACGGGATGTAAAACCCATACCGGATTTATGAACTGCTACCTACCGCCCTGTCCCTCACACAGGACGCCTAGGATGTAGTCAAAATGGAATGTTAGTTCCTTTAACAAGTGAATATCAAATGTGAAAAAAAGGCTAGGAAAAGAGACCTGCTGCGGGTTTGCTATTAAACGACGAAAAAATCCTCATGAAATAGAATAATCAAGCTTTTAATTGACAAACATATCAAAACAACAACCTAGTCCAATATAATTATACGGATTCAGGTCTACTAGTGTAACTTTTAGTAGGAATCTGGAACATTCCAAATGAGCTATGTGGAAGCTGCGGTTAGCTTCGACCAGATATTTGTGTATGAACCATTTAGATCGAGACAGTGAAGGAAAATGAGGAAACTAGAACCAAGTGCAAGAATTTTAAAAATACCTCATAGATATACACTTAATGGCTTCCGATCAGAACGATTATTATCAGAAAGGAAAGAAACAATATGGTGGCGGTTGAGACATGACAAACCTAACAATCGAACTATGAAATATCGCGACCCGAGATCTTGTGAATATTCGCTATTTTTCTTGGAGCCACTGAGCGCACACGAATTGTGAGTTATAAGCCAATAATCATGACAAAAATAACGAGAAAAAGAGCAAAATGCAGGAGTCGCGAAAATTCCGACCTCAATCCAATAGCTGCGAGAGCTCCTGTTCCTTTTATCCAACGTAAAAAAGAGGCACTATCTCCAAATACACATAAAAGTTGGGGCTCATTACGCATGAAAATCAATGAAGTTGGAGAATACAAACGAACACTTAAAGTTACCCTTGTACAACCGAGTGAGTCCGGTTGCTGCCTTTTCAAAGAAGCCCCAGAGGCCAACGAGAAGAGGATTTTGACAGGACAATAGACGTTCCCTCACATACCGATTGCTTGCAACTAAATCTTCGAACGAAGGGAACTCACACATTGAAAAAGAAATCACTCCGCGCCACCCTACTCCAGCCGATTGGAGGAACTAAAACAATTAATGTGTCTTTGTGAAAAAAGGTTGTTGTACTTGTTTAATCATTTCGCTTTCATGTAATAAGTTGAATTATTTCCAAAAATCTTATACAATTGTTTACTTCCTTTTGCAAAAGATTTCATTTATTCAGTCTGTGATCAATGCATTTTTAAACATACAATTTTCATTTACTTGGTGCTATGAACTCATTAGATTCGAAATTAACAAAGAAAACAACTAGTTAAAAAGGTAATACAACTAACCAAATCCCAGAACATGCAATGCAATTTTTTAACAACCCTCTAACTAAACGAGATCTTGATGATGATGATCATGATCATGATGAAATCAGACAACCGGCGGTCAAATCATTTTGCAGTGGGTTAGTGTTTAGTGATATTGCGTACAGGATGTCGGTCTGCGAGACGAATCCCGACAAGCTCCGAAAGTTAAACGATGAAGCAAGAGCCAAGCCAAATAAGGATTTGGGTTTCTATCCTGCAGCGTCAGATGCTCTTGACGCTTGGTTAGGTCGAATTTTTTCGCCAAAGGAAATGTATGAATCAGGTAATTCATAATTCTGCTGACGTCTTCTCAGGCAAGGGATACCCTTACACTTACAAGCCCGGTGGTAATTACCTCGGAAGGCCCATCTTCTCTACTGATATACATCTTGGGACCACATGGGGAACTAACCTACATCCTTTCCGTCCAAAATTTTGTCAAATTATGGAACGAGATTATCTTAGGTTCAGAGCTTCCTTTTATGTATACTTTTATAGGTGTCTAAGTAGAGTCGGTGTTCAAAATTCTGACAAAATGTGTCGCATATACTGGGAGGATCTGATTGAATGCACGACAAATGATAAATCCGTAAGTTGAACTTATTCATGCGATCTTGGATGTTGTAGAAAAAGCGGTTCTTATACATGGAGAAGGTTCGAAATCAAAAGAAACTTCCACCAATGGAACTCCCACCTCTCAGCTCTATTCGGCGCCCGAACTAAATCCAGGCTGTGCCGTCGGTTTAGTTTGTTTGGGCTGCTCTCCTAGTCTGCAATATAGTTGACCCTTACCACATCTGTACTTTTAGACCAATACGATTTACGCTACAGACCTTTTGATCTGTTGCGAATGTCGTCCGATGTTCTTTTTTATGCGGCTATTCAGCAGTATCCGTCAAGACAACTTTGTTTTCGTCATCCAATTGTTGGATGATGGAATTTGTGTAGGCAATACCTATTCAATGGTAACTTCCGACTTGCTTTATACTAACAGTTTTTACTCATGTGTATATGAGGTTGTAAAACTTTTTCCTGACCTAATTCTGCGCAAATCACGCTAATAGAGTTACCCTTTAATTTCCTAAGCGTAAGATTCATCTACTTTCGGCAAAGGAAGCTGGCGAATATGAAATCTAGTCCATTCTAGATCGTTAAGTGAATGTCTTGAGTTGTGGATTTCTTCTGCGTGAGGTAGAGTCACACTATTAGTGGTACCGATGGGAAATCTTTCGCCATTATTGACTTCGTTGTCGAAAATATTGCTCCAAGAGAAATAATTTACAGCTGTTGCGTTAAAAGTTGATGAGGCTTGTGCTTCATTCTCAGTAGCCGCAAATGCAGGATATTATCAGCAGCAAAACTCGTTATCCACACCTGGACAATGGACAGCGTTTTTCTAGCCCGAGCCTATTACTTAACAAGACGTGAAGTTATTAGGAACCGCATATTTACCGTGTTTATTGTAAAGTGAGCACCTCTACGCGTCGGGAATTATACACCACGGAGCTATTCATAAACAAAGCAGCAGCGGCACCACATATGGATATCTATCTGTATGGGCGCTCTAATCTACTTTTCCTATGAACAATATCCGTCTTTTGAACCAACAGTTCGAAAACTAAAAACTTTGACTGCTACATTGAATAGCCGCTAAACGTCGTCGCTTTATTAAAAGCCACAAAGCTCACGTTCAGCTAGATATTTTAATCGATAAGTTGCGTAGAATGATTAAATCAGTAGTTTTATTTGTTTCGAGATTACTTAAGGTGTAACTCAACAAACTTCGTTGCAGCGACGACGACCTGGTCAATTGAAGTTCTACCGGGAGATCCGCTGGCCTGGGCTGATGTTTCCCTGCCACCCCCTTTTCCACCTATCAGATTCGAGACACAGTTCGCCCATGCATTGGCTTTCAGGCCACGCGCAACTAAAACCTGTAATAAAAAATGTCATAAGTATTTTGACTTACTAGAAAACCACACATAGAATGTACTCATAAATTTCAACAGCGACATTCGAGCACCTCCAACACATGAATTCAGCAGTTTTACATTAATAAAATTTTCTAGAACGGGGGTACTGCTGACGGTGATCAAAACCAACATCTATTGCCGAATGGAGCTATGTTAGTATTAGCCTCATACCCTACGACATGGTACATTACCGCGACATGAACTTAATTTCGCAATTCCTTCATTTACCCTGACTAGCTACTGACTATATCTGTTGGAGGAACAGTGCCTTACCTAATAAACCTTTTTAACATCTTAAAATCACGTCACTGACGACTACAAAGATTATTTTTTAAGCGAAATGAGGATTGACACCATTATGTTTAGACATAGCCTACGTGCCGAACTAAATGCCTAGAAGACATTCCGTATGATCGACGCTTCTTCGTAAATAGCCAAGTTCGGAGATTTTACGAAAGGACCCCACCTTGGGAACCTGTGTGAGACAAAGAAGTTTCTTGGACCCTGCGTCCAGAGACAGCGCCATGACGGCAGTATTGGGCAACGCCTTCTCCATCTCCCTCAGCGCGAGGTTGAGGGCTTTTGCGTTGGATCCAGCGTCAAATGTATGGATGATAAAGTCCCTAGTGTCTTTGCTATCCTGACACAACATCCGTGCGTCCTCCATGACTTGGTTGATTAACGCAGCCTTACTGGCCTTGTCTATTTCGTCGAGGCGGGTCTTGGCGGCATTCAGTGCTTCGCGCATTGCCTCTCGTGCACCCACACCGATTTGGGCGCTGGAAACGCTTTCCACCACCGAGGGAAACTTAGCAGCCAACTGACGACAAGCGTTCGTATTCACAGGGACGCTGGCGATAGCATTTGTTGTATCGTCGACAAATTGGTCCACTTCGGATTGAAGAAGAAGTGCCTGTTTCTCTGCCTAGACCGGAAAAAATTTGTTTGGGTGCGCAGTCTTTAAGGTATCATAATATCACACGACTCATACAGAGCACATGGGGAATTGATAATCCATGGACCTCGTGAGGTGATATCCTTCGTAAGAGGGTACTTTACCCACTTTCAAATAATTTAAGTCATTGAGTATGCACACAAGGAATATTCAAAGCCTTGGCTGGGCAATGATTTCAGCACGCTCAGCAAAAATGTCATTTAGCTAGTTTGGAGATTAGACGGCTTAGTAAGACAGTGGATATACTAAAAATGTGCGCTTGATGCAACCTGGTTAAAAACATCAAAGCTATGAGAGTCTTACGCGCTCTCCCTCGGGTCCGGTAACAGCAGTAATTCGTCGCATGCCTTTGGCAATGGCCTCCTCCGAGACTATGACGAACTTTCCAATATGACCCACATTCAAGACATGCCTAATATGCAAAAAGGGTAGAAGTTTTAGCCGAGATTCTGGCAAAATACATACAATAAAAATAAAAATTACTATAGGATATTGTCAGACGTGTTGTACAAGAGTGAAATACAAAACTTCACCGCGTACTTCAACGGAAAACATTGGTGTGCTATGTGATCTCAATCACCAAGAATACGCGCCCTACAGTCGCCTTTCTATTAAAATATCACACAGTAGGACACTAAAGTTGCAGGAAAATATCTACGGTAGGTTAGACACGATAACTAATTTACACTGGCTGCTCATGGTTTAACGGCTAAACGGGGTCGGATGTGTGACTTGGACACCTTAGCTACCTGATGTTAGGTATAACGTGACAAGCAAGTTACTACCACACGTTTAAATTACGGAGTAAATTAACAAAACTCCGAAATCTACTTCTGTGGGCATTCAAAATGTATCGGAATCTCGTGTTTTTGGATTTTTCAGATCATCACCAGCAGCTACACACGTCGAAGCCTTTCGCATTCCAACCCTTAATTTGTACTATTACTATGGGAAAAAACAAGTACCCTAAGTCCACAAGACCCACTTCTGGCAGACGAAAATTTGACCCTCCAGCGCTCCTCACCGTAACGCACTGGATTGTTTCAAGTATTGGGGTTGTTAAGATATTAATAACCATCCGCACAATTCCTTTGATACTCTTCCTAGATGTTTTTCTGACTAAAATGGGCAAAAATCAAGTTGCCAAGTCCTGTGCGCAACTCATCCGGGAACTGAGAATATCACAAGTGTCATTAAAGGATCCACAGCCTGAGGATATGTTCACAACTAGCCAACTACGAACAACGTAGGACAGCGCTAATACTACTACCACTACTAAATAAATGCATTTGTAGCCCGACCTCAGAACTTACGTGCCACCGCACAGCTCAACAGAAGTTTTTGTAGCCATGTCGCTAATATTCTCGGAAATTAACTGATCCACTGGAACTCCAACGGAGACCACTCGAACTGGGTCAGGGTACGCCTCACCGTCTAAGGAACGCAGACCCCGGATAGCCTTCGCGTCGGCCAAAGGCACATCCTTGGTGTACACGCGTTGCCAGGACCGGATCATTTTACGGGCTGAAGCTTGAGTGCACGATATTTGCTCCTTCGTAAGGGCGCACTTAGCAAAAGGCATAAAAAGGGTTCGGTAAACACAAGTCTGGAATTACAAGCTGCTTTTACATGTAACACGTACCAGGAAATTAGTGATAGGACTGATAAATTTAACGGAAAGAAAACCAGTGTAAGACCTATCGCTGTCATTGTAGGTCTATTTGGTGACTTGATACAACAGTTTAAGGTGGACCTGGGCGGTTAGCTAAACAAACAATGGACGATCGCCGATTAAGATCGGCACACTGCAAGGAAGCGACATACGTAAAGGTTGCGCAGGTGACACCAACTCACCTTTGAAGAGAAATCGAAACGGAGGCGATCCGGTGCGACAAGGCTGCCCTTCTGGTCGGCCTCACCGAGGACGAAACGAAGGGCAAAGTTAAGAACGTGGGTGCCAGTGTGATTCCGCATCAGACCGATCCGACGCACCGGGTCCACCGAGACGCGCACTGTATCCCCTTTGGAGAGCTGACCCTCTAACCGGCCTAGGTGAAACACGAAGCCTCCCCTGTTCCGTACACTGTAGACTGATAACTCGTTGGCCTATTACGAGGTTGGAAAAGTGCGAAGTTTAAGCAACTCACATTAATTTGCATTTCGTGGTCAGATTGGCATTTGAAAGTACCCGACCATATCAATAACAGACAGAAGCATATTGCAATGCAAGTGACGTAAACTAAATAGGGGATGCACCAGAGTCACGTCGAACAGAACTCCAAGCAGAGCTTATTGCTGGAGGTGAACAGCTAAAATTTGAACCCGCATTCCTGTCACTAGAACCATTGCAAGACGTGAAGCATATGTGATGGAAATAACGCATATATCACAGTTTTTCAATCACAATTTTTCAGCCAACATAAAATAAGAGGACTAATGTGCTGATGTAAAATGAGTAGACGAAAGTCGTTGGCAGCTCGATACTGTTCTTAACTTCGTAGTTAATGTCATCGATGAATGGGCGGTCTGCATTATTTGCAATGGACTTCTACGTTGATGCGCTTGAATAAATTTTAATGGGGCTTAACAGCTTTGGAACAATCGGATTAATCGAAATTTTTCAAGACGACGACGATAATGCCAGTTATGGGCCTAGATTTACTGCGCAAAGCGAGTTAATAGGAAATCCCTATGAAAACTGAACACATCAATGCCAAACTTAGCGCTGTTAGAAAACTTAAACGTAGAGGTGAATTGATACTTTTTAATATGTAGGTAGACAGATCGAACTGAGGCACTGCATAAAACTTGCTTGAGGTAAAGTGCTCACGTAGGCTAGGCTCCGAAAAATTCCGAACAGGATACCTTTACACGACCTGGAAGAACTCTATTTACTGACACAAAACGAAGAAGGGAATTAACGACTGCTTCGACGTGGGCACGAGTTCATCAACAAGACCCAGTTAGAATTTCAACTGGAAGCCTCTTGCAACAGAAAAGATAGTGCACAGGCGCTCTTCCTGTCGTCGGATTGATGAAAAATTATGAACAAGGTACAAGTAAGCATGACTCACGTCGTTCTTTTCACTGACAATGAAACCATGGTCCTCAGACTGACCACCGGCCTCAGCGTAGAGAACAGTTCTGTCCAGAATCAGACCACACACCATGCCAGGCTCGCTTACACAGTCCACAAACCCCTTCTCGGTACGAATTGCCAGAATCGTAGCCGTACAATCAGAAAAATCTAATAAAAGCAAAACAAATCTGGCAATTCGTGAACAGAATACAATTGGCTGAACTGTAAAGCACCACATAACAACGTCAGGTAAAGCGCGAAGGGTTGTCGACAAAGACCATCTGGAGCTGCCACGTCAAGCGTCAGAAGATAAACCCATCGAATAAAAAAAATCAATAATAAGAGGTTGATAGACAAGTTTCGATGTTTATTTCGTAAGAATGATGAGAGCACAACTCGGTTTCTTTGGGTTCCGGAATATCGGTGTACCCTATGAGCACAATCATTGTAGCGAAAAAAGCGGCCGCGTGCGGAGTGCTTTTACTGCATCAGTATTGGTGGGAATGAAACAATAATTAACGAAATCAGAAATCGCATGACCCGTGTTAGATGAGCGTTTGCTTTCTTACCTGGGTTGTTAACTCACAGACCTAAAGCTACGATCTTACTCCGCAACAAAATTCGGTTTATAATGCGGTGGGCAGGGTGGAGCCGCAAGCCTCCTTCGCTTTCCGCACATGGATCGATGAAAAAGAAGCGTCCCAAAATTTGCTTCTCACTTTTAACCCCTGATTGCAATTCGTTACAAAAATATGAGATATCACTACAAGTTCTGTATTTTGTGAGTTTCGATGACGGACTTCCCAGCTACATTAAATCAATAAAATTGTGCGATTCGTTGCGAATAAACGGTCAACAGAGAAGGAAGCTTGGTGTCTACTGTGTGTTTTCCCAGAATAAACGAATTATAGTACTAATTAGCTGATGCATAATTTACGACGAACCCAGCAAAAAACGATGTATTATCTTAAAAAGTATCCACATATTCGACCACATTACTCACGATATCGGTTGTTTTTTCGAGAACGGCCGTAGCTGTATTTTAAACTGTCATCAGTCAAGGGAACGCCGGATTTTTGAAGACTAGCAATATCGTGAACATCGAGGTCTATAGTGGAGATGCCGGTACCGAAGGTGCCTTGACTCCTTAGCAATGCCTCCTCTTTCGCTTTCTCGTAGCCTTCGTCATCAACCTGTGGTCAAAAAGGTACCAATTAGAAACAAGATCAATCCACGTTACTTGAGACAAATTGGTGGGATGACATGCATCATCGATAAACAAATGAACGAAAACTTGCTCGTCTTAAAAATAGTTTACCATGAGTTAAAGATTGATTAACATCACTACGGAATAACATTGGTATACAACTCTTCTGTTCCTAAAGTAATTCGCTCTGCATGACTCCAAATAATGGTCATCACCGGTGGCACGAGCCATTTAAACGAGCCTATGTTAAACTATACAACCTGTCAATAAGTGTACAAATAAAGTTGACATGCGAGGCAAGTTACATAAACTTAATCCATGAAACGCAAATCGGGCATGTGAACAAAATGAACAGAACGGCAACGGCACTCTAAAAGTTAATTTTAAAATCAAGCAAATAGTCAGGAAATACCTCGATGCCAGCTTCTCGTGCCATGATTGTAGTAAGGTCTAGGGGGAAGCCGTATGTGTCGTGGAGGCGCCAGGCCACGGAACCAGGCAAGATGGTAGACATTGATTTTTTTAAGTGATCGACTTCCCGACGCAGAAGACGCTGACCACGGCGAAGCGTCAAAAGAAACTGCTGCTCCTCTTCATTTATTAAACCTTTTACCTGTGGACAACAAGTTAATACACTGACCAATAATGCATACTGCTACAGTAGCTCAGGTGAACAAAGACAGCCTATCAGAATGGATAAATGAGTAATTATCCTATCGGCTTCAAAAAAGTCGGCTTTTAAAAGATGGAGAGCGCCTAAACGATGGGTGAAACAAAAAGAAGAATGCATTCGAGTGGGACTGGTTACGTAGTGTAATCAGATGGTGGTACGATTCTGCTATTATAACGACTGCAACCTTGAATATGGCCAGATTGAGCGAAGCAACTGCCGCTAAAGAACTAGACAGTAAAGACTACGTCAGAAAAAAGATGTTAAATATCGAGGGTGGGTTCGTAGAACATGAAAGTAGGAGTGATCAAAACGGTCTCCTAGGCGGTCTAATTTCGGAAAACTGAAAAATGTAAAATGCAAGGTGACTAAGGCGGTTAGTAACGCAAGTCTGTGTGAATTGATGTTGTCTCCTCTACAATACAGGCGCTTACAATTTCTGGATTTTTTTTCAACTCGGGAAAGGCAGCACCAAGTGATTTAACAACCACATCAACAAGCGTAGCGAAGAAGCCTGGTTTCGCACCAATGACTTCGATGGAGTAGCGTATTGCTCTTCGGAGGATCCGCCGCAAAACATAGCCACGGCCTTGATTGGATATTTGACCCCCATCGCTTAGCGCAATTGTAAGATTGCGTGCATGATCGGCCAATACACGGTAGGCGAGGTCAGTATTGTCTTTGTCCTCCATTCCCACTTTGCCCGTGTAGGGGTGAATTCCGGTAGCCTGACATAGAAAAGGAGTTAGGTAGCCAAAGAACCTATACACGGAAGTTGCGGACAAATGGATGAGTAAAGAGCTAGGGAATAATCCATTAAATCATGGAGCAAGAAAGGATTCATGACTTTTGACAAGGTCACACCATTGTGCATGATGACTACATGACCTATGTTAACATCTAAGTCACCAAGGACAGAGCAAGAGATTGTATCATCGAAAAAGATTACATGAATCACCAGCAAAGTCATTAACGCAATCTAGTGGATTTGTTCACTAAGTAGCGAAAGAACATGAAGCATTCTATTCACTCGATCTGCACAAAAACACACCTTATGTATAGCATCAAAATATGGCAAGAACAAGTCGGTGTCATAATTAGATCGCTTGTTCTGCAGGACGGAAACAATTCGTTCAAGACCCATGCCAGTATCCACGTGCTTTGCGGGGAGTGGGCGAAGAGTTCCACCTTCTTCCCTACCAATTCAGAAAGAAACAAGCATATAAATGTCCGAATACGCATGCAAGCAATTGGATTACTACGGAGCAAAGAATACAGAAGTGGTACCTATTGAATTGTATAAAAACGAGATTCCAGACTTCCAATACATCCGGATCATCCATATTAACAAGGGCAGATGCATCTCTGCCACCGATTCGATCAAAGTGGATTTCGGAGCACGGACCGCAAGGACCAGTTTCACCCATTTCCCAAAAGTTATCTTTCATTCCAAATGGTAGAACCCTTTGAGATGGTATCCTAATTTCGGAATGTACTAAATAAAGTACGAGAAGGGTAAAATTTACCCCAAGTCAATCCAAACTTGTCGTGCTTCTTCATCCGAGTCGAGCCCCAACTTATGGTCCCCACCAAAATAGGTAACATAAAACCTGTCCTTTGGAAGACCCCAAACATTTGTCAGAAGCTCCCAGGCCCATGTACACGCCTCTTTTTTGAAGTAATCCCCGAATGACCAATTTCCGAGCATTTCGAAAAACGTGTGATGGTACACATCACGACC